GAGGCGCGACCCAGCCGCTGGACCTTTGCCCTCTCTTGTCGCCTGTACGCCCGCTTTGTCGCCCGCCGTCTTCACGTGCTTACAACACTACCCTCTTACCGCTCCTACTCATTGTCGTCTCCGTTACCATTCTCTTCGCACGCTTCTTCGGCGCCTAAAGCCGTCACCTCTTCTAGCGTCCTGTTCCTGTCCACGAAATTTCGATATAACTGACTCACACGTTGCTGTTCCTCTCGATCTCGGCAGAACGGCACGTAAGGGTTTCCTTTACCTTTCCACGCACGGAGCAGCCCTTCTTTCTTCCCCCTCCGTCTTCTCTTGCTTCATCAGCAGCATCGGCAGACCGCCGTGGTGAACGAATACAATCCTGCACCAGTTCCTCTGCTATACGACTACATCATCGCCCTACTCCTTCCAGTAGACTCGCTGTAGCGAGACAACACACGCGTTGGTTTGAAACCAGCTTGAAGGACGTCACGACCGGCTTTTCGAAACACGCATATCTAGACGAATACATATACATACACGTGTGATCCAGTACACCCTCAGCGGCGACCAATTGCCTATGTGTGCATAAAGGAAGGGAGATACTTATGCAAGAGAGCACGCTCTTCTTGGTCGACGTTTAGCTTCGAAGCTTCAAGCTTTGCCCGACTACTACAACTATTCTACTACTACCACTACTACTACTACTACTACTACTATTATTACTACTACTACTACTACTACTACTACTACTACTACTACTACTACTACTACTACTATTATTACTACTACTACTATTACTACTACGCCGAGGCTACAGCTTCTCAAGTACGGTGCGCTGCAAGATTAAGGGAAGACAGAGGAAATATAGTGAATAAGGAGTCGATAGATGAGATTGACGACCTACGACGACGCCTTATCACGAAGCCAAGAGTAGTGCCATCCCGCCTAAAATCGACTGGTGCTGTCGATATATAGCTTCACATTTTTCGCTTCTTCTCTTTTCCCAGTGAGATATCTCTCCATCCTGTCCTCTCTCGCCTGCGTACATTTAGCTTTTACGCCTTCCCGGAGATTATCGTGTGAGAAACGCGTGCAGCATCAAAAAATTTGGCCTACGAGATAAAAGAATTTCGCAGAAACGCGAATCATCGACAACAACGCCTAAGCCGGCTGCTGCCGTGCTCCTTCGATTAATTTTCGCCACGGAATCCGATATCAGGCGAGAGAAAAAGAACGGCGATAAGCCACGCTTGAAACAGCCGACGTTGCTGATAAACGCGAGTCTTCGTCAGACGATTCGACATATCGCGCGACGACAACGACGACGAGAGCTAAGCGCGATTTCGAGGTGAGGAAGAACGAAATTACGAGACACGGTGATTACCCACGCAGAAGATCTACGCGCAGGAAGACAGACGCGGATCATCGTGTACATGGGACATTAAGATCATCACATCGCGCTTAAACGAGAGATCTTCTGCCGTAAGGTATACAGTCACAAGTAGTTACATGACTCTGAGGCACACGCGGGATTTCGCATAAAGTGTGTTTGTGTGTAAATGGTAGAGGAAGGTGAGAGGGAGAGAGGGAGAGAAAGGGAGAGAGGGAGAGAAAGGGAGAGAGGAAGGGGTGAACGTGTGCACGTGAGCGAGTGGTGAGAGAAGTTGACGAGACGAGGCGAAAGTGGTGGAACGAAAGGGTTCAGTACCGGACTTGGCGAAATCCCGTGAACAAGTGCCGACGAGTTCGTGTCGCGAGGTGGTCGTACTCCATAAACCGAAACGTCTATATATTGACAAGATTAGTCGACGCGTGTGTACGCGACCGGAGAAAAGGAGCCGATCATCACGAGCAAGAGTTTAGAACGGCAGAGAGAGAGTGAGAGAGAAAGAGGGAGGAAGGGAGAGAGAGAGAGAGAGAGAGAGAGAGAGAGAGAGAGAGAGAGAGAGAGAGAGAGCGCGGGTTACTACTCTCTCACGGTAGAGGCCAACGGACGGCGGGGACTCTCGATCTTCCAGGAGTGGAAGAATGGCAATGGTCAGCATGAATAACCTACTGAACGGCAAGGACTCGCGGTGGCTGCAACTGGAGGTTTGCAGAGAGTTCCAGCGCAACAAGTGCACCAGGCCCGACACGGAGTGCAAGTTCGCCCATCCGCCAGCTAACGTCGAGGTGCAGAACGGACGGGTGACCGCCTGCTACGACAGTATCAAGGTAACGAACCGTTGCATAATCGAGTTTTCGTACTCGCGCGTAACGAGCGCGTTCGCGCGGAGCGAAATCGTTGGTCCCCGCGCACAGCGCACACGGCCGATAAACTCCGCCTTCACTTATCTGACACCTTCGGTAAACTCAACGAGAGAATTATCTCTGTTATCCCGATGAAGTGTGAAACTCTATCGTAACGTATTCGCATCGGTGAGCGCAAAACGGAGGCTGTCTTACCATTAGAGCTCTTCTTAGTTGATTCCGATCCTGTGAGATAAGTGAAGTTATATTGTAATTGAATATTATTTGTCTTATCTTTATTTATGAGGTAATATAAAAACAAGCTTTACCTTTCCAATGACGAAATATCGATAATTGTGTCGTGATGAATTCAGTTAATAGATAGGATTATCCGTCGTATCGTCTTTATTATAATCTCAAGAAAAACGGTTCTGATTCTATTCGATAAGACGTCGTGTACTTTGATCTCTGTATGCTATTGATGAAATAATATTATAAGTTGGAAGACGAGATTACATCGGGTTTATTTTACACCGGAGTATAGACGAGGAGTATAGGGAGATTTTGAAATTGATGTTTAAGAAGATTATCGATAAACAATTGCGAATATCTGTGAATGTCGAGGCGCGTGTTTATAGGTCATTCTCTTCGATATTCTGAAGACCTCTTTCCATTCTGCAATCGATCGAAATGGATCACACGTGTGTACGTCGTGAGATCGTCGATCGATCTTTTCTGCCCGCGCTTTCCGATTGATCTCTCGATACAAAGCCGATAATTTGCAACGCCACGCAGTCGAGATAAGGAACCGGTTGTAATTTACGATGGGTAATAAGTCTCTTATCGTCGATCCAGTGCGCTATCGGCCCTCGGGGGGGGGGGGGGGCCC